GTATCTTTGCACAGGTTCTTTTGCTTTGGAGAAATAAAGTAAAGACACTGAAAGGTGAGCTTGGCCAAGACACCTTCTGCACTGTTTGCCAATGCAAATTGGGGCTTGAACTTGAATGATAGTTTCCTTTAAATGGCCAGGCTTCTTAAAGCCTCTTTACAAATAATGTCAGTGGCAATCAGAGCTAGAAGTGTTTGCTAAAGAGTGAAATTTTTTTCCTGGGCCAGCAAGTTGGCTCACAGGATAGAGCTTACTCTGAAAACATGGTGACCTGTGTTTTATCCCAAGAATATAGAAGGGGAGGACCAACTTCACAGAGTTGCCCTCTGGCCTGTACACATGCAACCTGGCATGTACACACCTACTCTCTCACCTTTCCTACTGTTCCCCACACACTAGGAAAAAAGTCTTCCTGACCCAACATTGCTATCACAAAAGAAGAAGCTAATTTTTTTTTTTTTTGAGCCTGGGTATCTATTGCCACCCAGTTGTGACTTTTCCTATAGATCACTGCTTGTGTGGCATTTTCTCTCTCCTAGTAAGTTGAGGCTCCTCTGTTCTAAAATTCCTTGGGGTCATTGGATGGGCAAATACTTCACCTCCATTTAAGACTTAGTGGGCTTGGATCCTGTTGCTTCCTAGATGTGTGACTTCTGTGAGAAAACTTGTAAAGAGACCTTGGCTTGCTCATTTGTGAAGGAAGCAGTGTCTTTTTTGCACCAGTAAATAGCAATATTTGTATCCTGTGTTAATAGAAGCTAAAGGGCAGAGGCAACTCAAGAGTCCATTGGTAGATGAATGGATAAACTACATATGGTTTGCACATGTGTATGTGTGTGTGTATGTGTGTGTGTGTGCACACACACACACAAGTGAGAAGAAAGAAAGACTTTCTAGCATATACGACAGCATAGATGGGTTGGAGAACATTATGCCAAATGAAATAAGCCAGCCACCAAAAAGCATACACTATATGATGGCACATATGATTGCCACTGTTATGTGTAGCCAAAATGGTAACATTTAATCAAATATGTGTTTCTTATGCTACTCTGCCATTGTAGAGATGGCAGAATAAATTTCATGAGTACTTAGGTATTTTCCCATTACTGGGGGGTTTCACTCATGAGCTGTGTTTCCTGGTCGCATCATCAAGGTACATGACAATCTTCCTGGCTCTTTCCACATTTGCAAATGACCTTTCTAAAATGGCTTGGTCTTTTTCCCCCTGTGATGGGTCAAATGATAGGTCACCATCTAGCCAGCATTGCCAGCACACTTTCAAGCAGTTTTGTAGGTAATAAATAAACGATGATACTCTAATATTTCAGTGTGCATTTATTGGTTTTTGTTCAGTCATTAAAAATACTGGACATTTCTTACATTACAGTACAGTTACTGCTTCCTATATGAGGCACCTGTTTGCATCTCTGGTTGACATATCTTGTTGGGCTTCAATGGCTTTTCATGTTTATATGGTTTCTGTAATGTTTATAACATACTGTTACCATTTTTAACATTCAGAGGGCCTAAGTGCTTTGTGTATGTGTATGCATATGTGTATGTGCAGTGTATGATGTATTCATGTGGCTGTGTGCACATGTATGTCTATGTGGTGGCCACACATACATACATCAGGTGTCCTTCCCCATTACCCTCCACAGTATTTTTTGAGACAGGGTCTTTCCTGAACCTGAACCTGGTTGGTTTGGCTAGGCTAACTGACCAATGAGTTCTAGAGATCCACCTGTCCATACCACTAACACCCTAGCATTTGTTACAGATAAGAACCACCATGCCAAGCTTTCTTATATGAATGCTTGAGATCCGAACCAAGGCCCTTACGTTTATGACATAGGCACTTTACCACTGGGCCGTCTCCGTTGCCCATTAATGATTTTCATATTATAAGACACTAATCACTTTAGTAGTTAAATCATTGATTTTGACATTTTAGATGATTAAATCAGATGTATAATAGACCCAAAGTGTTTTGCCATAACCAACTGTTAGGCGTGCTGTTATCTTCTAAGCATTGCATGGCCTCCCCTTTTATATTTGTTAGCAAAAAGTCTACTTATGGGATTGGGAAAAGGCTCAGTGGTTAAAGTGCCATGCAGTGTGAGTCCATAGTTTGGATGCCCAGAACCTACTTAAATGCTAGATGGGCATGGTGGCTCACCTGTAATTCCTCTGAAGGTAGTGGCAGGAATCCCCAGAGAAAGTTGACTAGCAAAATTGACATTGGTAGTCTCTGGGTTTGATTGTGAGATCCTGTCTCAATGAATAAGGCAGAAAAGGGATCAGGATGACTCCAGACATCAACCTCAGGCCTCTGCATGTACACACACACATGCAGGTGCTCCCACACATGTGTACCCACACATGCAAACATAGACACGTACACACCACATGCACATGAAAATGGAAAAAGCAATTAATCAATACAAAATCCACTTAGATGCTAAGTTCTGTGACTATGTTATCAGAATAAAGTTGTATGGATTGCCCAATTAATAATAAAATTTTACTATAGTAACCACTTTTAATAGCTTATAGAAAAAAGAACATGACAAACATTAGGGCAAAGAAAAAACTAAATTGGCTAACACCATGAGATTCAGTGTTTACTCCAGTAACATGAACCTACTCCCACTGAGGCAGAGCTGTCTCCTCCAGCTATGAATGCTACAGACTTAAAAGAACGTAGCAGTGAGGGAGACTGGCCCTCATGGTGCCCATGGGGAAGGAAAGTGTGGCCTGCTTTACTGAGAAGTTTGGCACTGGACACCAAGAAACCTTTCAATATTTATAAACGTTGATTCAGAATTCCAGTTAGTCAGCTGGAGCTAGAGATGCCTCTGAAGTGTTGGAAAATATTTACGTTCATGGTTAGAAATAGGATTCCATATAAATGCCCAGTGATAGGCAACAATGAAGACATAGCTGGAAGACCGGATGGAGTGGTATGCAGTCATTACAAGTGGCATTTGCTCAGACTTTCATCGCAGTGCACATTTCATCTGCTCCTTGTTTCTTCTCTTCCATTTCTTACATCTTCTCAGCTTAACGTTATTCATAAACATTGTTCCTATAATCAAAAAGAAATTCACATATTAAAAATATTAGAGAGAATGAGAGATTCTATTCCGTTTCTGGGCTCAGGCTTCCTGTGTTCACCTTGCTCACTCTCCTTTGACATAGCGAGTGGCCCCTGGATGTGGAGTCAGTGGGCACGTGTTTTTAAGTGATAGTACTGAAATCCACTAGCTGTGTGGCCTTGAGTGAATCTGACTTCCATGTATCTTGGCCCTCTGGTTTGTAAAAGGGAGTTGCTGTCAGACACAACTACAGAGAGAAAGCCCTTATGCAAGTGGAGACTCTGGTCTCCTGCAGCCTTAAGCTGAGAGCTCTCCCCAGGCTATCTCATGGTTGGTCATTTGCATGAAGGACCATCAGAATTCAATGAAAGAGTAGTCATGCTTTATTACCAGGGCAGAACAGGGCTCCAGGTCAGCTAAAGAGGCAAAGTGCAGTGTCGGGGTGGATTCCATGGACTTCTGATCTTTCTCCAGCAGAGCTGGGATAATCTCCAGCATCCATGCATGACAGTTGCTCATCAGCAAAACCTGCCTAAGCTTTGGTGTCCCAGGATTTTATACAGGTACCACCCATCCTGTCAGAATAATCCCCAGTGTGGTTGGAGTCAGCCTCCAGGTTAGCTGATAGCATGCCAACCAAAGGCTCCATGGTAGTTCTTTCTTCATGGTCAGTCCTACTGTTGTGTATAGTTCACCTCATCCTACAGTCTATTGTGAACAGCCCCATTTCTACTGGATAGCTCATAGTTTTTCTCACAGGTACCAAGGGAAAAGGCCAGACCTCACTTGGACAAGGCCAAATTCTTTATGATATAGAAGGTGAGAGAAAAGAGAGAGTGTACAGATTTGAATACAGAGATTGTGTTGTGTTGGGGGGGTGGCCTGTTCCTACACAGTTCTGAGACTGGCCAGCAAGAAGAACATGACCTTGACAGTTATAAGAAGTACACAGGCATGCACTTTGTTCCCCATTCTTGAATCGTCAAGATTGCTTGTGAGAATAAACCCACTTATTGTGGACACAGAGAGGAATTGGGCTGAGAAAATATAACCCCTGGGTGCTGTCCCTGACTCAGTGTTCAGAGCATGGCAATTGTGTCTCACCACTTAGTTACCTAATGGGGATGAGTTCTCAGTCTATTTCTGAAGGTTTCTCTCTCTGGAATTACTCTGATCTGTCCTTCAGCTGAGCCTACTCCTTGTAGTATACAGTGATGTAAAAAGAAATTGGGGAAGTCCCCTTTTGAGAGTTTCCACTCCTGAGCACCAGGTCAGACTGACTGCCTCTTGATTCCATAAAAATGAGACTAGAAGATGAAAATCCATGTTGGGGACATGGCTCAGCAGTTAATGCACTTACTGTATATGAGTGAGGTCTAGAGTTCAGATTCCCTATTACCCCCACATAAAAGCAGCAGCCACATGTAAAGTCCAGCAGCAGGGAGAGATAGAAGAGCCTCAGAGCAAGCCAGCAACAAGACTAGCCATGTTATCAAACTCTAGGTTTGACTGAGAAGTCTTGCCTTAGTGAATAAGGTAGAAAAGCGATCAGGAATAATTCCTGACGTCAACTTGAAGTCTCTATATGCACACCCACATACATGCACCCACACACCTGAATAAATGTGGGTGTGGGGGAGAAAAATGAAAATGGAGTTTAGTTCTCATATGAAAGACACAGAAGTCTTCATCTGGGGAATCTCCAGGGAGGATAACTGTGCTTTTATAACTGGGGACTGAGACTGGGGATGAGACCAGCAGCTGAAATCCAATTACACTTGTACTCTTCCATCAGAGAGAAAAGTTCAGCTTCTATCTGCAGGATCTTTGGAGCACCAATAGCTTGCAATGACTTGATGTTATCAGTAAAATTGGGTTGTATGTTCCGTCTCTCTCTAGAAAAAACTGGCCACGCAGAAGTCGTCCGGGTTGTGTACCAGCCAGAGCACATCAGCTTTGAGGAACTGCTCAAGGTCTTCTGGGAGAATCACGACCCGACCCAAGGTAGAGTGATGAGTGAGCCAGTATTTAATTATCTTACTAATTACAGCTGGGATAATTAGTGTTTGAGCTGCATGGGAGAGATGAACCTTGAAATCACACAGGAGCTCAAGAATATGATTGCAGACATTTACTGACGGAATGGGGCGGGGGCACTCAGGGAGTGGAGGGGTAAGAGAATAAAGGCGCAGCCACAGTCAGCGCCCCTCCCCCCATTACAGCTGTCAGGGGTGGGAAAATTCCCACAGAGAAAGACGCCAGACAATGGAGATCCCTTCACCTTTGATTATTGCATTATTCTTCCTTAATGCAGCCTTTTGTCTACAAAATTAAAGTGTCTTCCCAGTAACCACAAAGTTTCCCTGATTTATGGTCCCTTTGTTTTCTCAGAGTTTAGCTTTTCTCATCTTTTTGACGTTATCGGGTTTGTTTTTTAAGAAACGTCTGCGGGTGATTGCAGGAAGGAACAAAAAGAATATAAAGGTGAAAAGCAGTGTTCAGTAGCCCACAATGCAACTTGGGCTATTCAAACATTTCATTTGTCCTCCTTGGAATCTGTTATGTGGGGATATTAATGTATTTTGACTACAAATGGTATCTGGTGGCCAGATACATTATTTGGATATACTTGCAAGCAGAAAGTCTCCTGTTGGCTAATACTGTAGTCAATAGTGAGATTTCTCCACTCCATCCTAGCCTCCTTACAAGGGTGGCTTTGTCAGAGTTGTGTTTAGGGATAGGGAGACTTCTAAACTGGGATCTTACACAAGTATTCTTTGCCCAGCCTCTGTCTACTCACAGAAACAATTTTCCCTTTGGGGTTTTCTGTGATGGGTTTGCCATGTTGACAATCTCTTAAGGAGTGGGCATTTCCTTCCCAGCTACATTTGTGCTTGTGAAAAAAATCTTAACATGGGCCCAAGAGAACAAGTTGGTGGGTCTTAAGTGCTGTGTGTTGTGTCACGTGTGTCCCCCAACATGCCCCACTAGAACTACCCATTACTAGAGTCATTTGCAAAGGTCAAAGACCAGAGCAAAGGCAAGTACAGCAGAATGATTGCTGTAATGCCATCAGGTGAGCTGGCCAGGTAGATAAGGGCTAAGACCTGAGAGGAGCTGTTATGGAAATGTCTGGTTTTCTATGGGGGTGGGTCCTGAGGTGAGGTGAGAACTGAGATGTAGGGCAATAGGTCAAGGCCTACAGGGATAAGAAAACTGTGGTCCAAAGGTTTACTGTCACCAGAGTTTGAACCACTGGGCTGCCCTAGCACATGAAGAAGGCCACCTTGACAGCATAGATAGGAAGTGCTAATGCCAAGAGCTCATGCTAATGAGTCTCCATCAGGTGCTGCAGACATTTAGTTATGTGTCTGGTAAAGGCAGGGTCAAGATAGACTGCTTCAAGCTTCTAAAGCCGCCCAGGAGACCCACGTCAAGAATCTAGAAAGCCTGAGGCAAGGTCCTGTAGGACAGCTTGGAGCCTGTAACTTGGCTGCCTTGCACAATGTTCTGTCCCTCTAGTGCCCCTGAGGCCTCACTTTAGTGGCATCTCAGACAGGGCCACATGTCACTGTTTTTCTACCTTAATGTCCTTTAATATTGTATCCATTCCATTGTGTCCGTATCTGCTCAGGTATGTTAACAGATACGGCCCCTGAACGCCCAGGAGAGATTCCGAGGAAGACCACTGCAGACTCTATTCTCTCCCATACTTACTCTACATTTACCTCAACAGCCCTCACTCATCTCCTCTTGGTTTTCTTGTTCGTTTATGATCTGTTTTACTCTTCTAGCATAGCATAAGAGTGTATGAACGCCTGGATGGCTTCAAAATCGAGCATTTATTGCCTTAAAATTCTGGTGACTTCTCAACCATAAGTCAAAGGCCAGAAGTCAGCAGGCTTTCTTTCTCCTGAGGCCTCTCTCCTTGGTGTGCTGATGGCCCTCTTCTCCTCTCTGGGTCCTCTCATGATCTTTTTTAGGTGGGTTTCCTTTTATTACAAAGACACCAGTTGTATTAGTGACCATGTTACCTTTTACAAAACATCTGTTGGACTGGAGAGATGGCTTAGCAGTTAGGAGTACTGTCTGCTCTTCCAGAAGACCCAGATTTGATTCCTGGCATCCACATAATGTCCTTTTCTAGCCTCCAAGGGCACCAGGCACAAACATGGTACACAAATATACACAAGGCAAAACACCCATACATGTAAAATAAAATGCTTGAAGAACCAAAAACTATCTTCCTAAATCTACAAATGCAATCATATTCTGTGGTATAGGAGCAGAGACTTCAGCTTGTGAAGAGAGGAGGGGTACACTACTAAACTCATCACACTGTGCATTGGTGACAGCACACGGCACTATCCACTGTGACAGCTTTGCCTGCTTTTCTTCTAGGGGTGTTTTTAATGCCATTCATAGACTCATAATCTGGAAGTCATTTTAAAACTCATCCAGGTGAGCATCGTGGACTGAAGCCTTGCCTTTCAACGTGTTTCCCATCCCAGTACCAGGATTACCTTGGGGATAGCTCAGTGCAGTGGAACATGTAACAGTCCTCCCTCTCCCTCTCCCTCTCCCTCTCCCTCTCCCTCTCCCTCTCCC